AATAGGGACGGAGACTGTCTGGAAAATTTCCAAATTGAAAGAAAGGAAGAACTTTCAAATTTTCTTCTATTTTGCCAATCGCAAGATAGTAAATTAAAGAAGCCAAAGCTTGGACGATTCGCCGATGCATTATTGGCAGCTTTTGTTAATGCAGTTAATGCACGAACATCCTATTTTTTAACAGTTTTTAACAAATTGGTTTACTCAGATGTGCACTTTCTTAATTTTAGAACACTAGATCGCGAAGTCAGAAATAGGTGATCGCTATCGACAGTGTGTTACACAGTGTGTCCAAATTGATTTCAATGATAGATAGAGTGAAATAACTGATTGAAAAAGAAGCTTTCTCAAGGGAGGTTCATGATGTTTTGACCTACGTTTTGGGCGGGGTTAGAGTTTCTAAACCCAAATTTAAGGGAGGGTCAATATCTTTTGACCCTTGACTTACACTTTTTAGTAGATCTCCCCGCTAGTGATTCATGATCCCTTCTGAAACCCACCACTTCTTACCTGACAATACAGTGTATGATACGGAAAGCGGGTCATACTTGGATTCTACAGTTCTTTTAAACAAACTCGGGCGCCTGTTGTGTTAATGTACTGAAAAAAAAGAAATACACAATTAAGCTGCATGTGATTTTGGCCTCTTACAACGGTCGCCACGGTCGATTGACGACAAAAACGTTCGCTCTATTGATCCAGGTAATTTGGAAGAGTTGTGTGTGCCTTCTGCGATACTTTGATAAGGTTTTTTTTATATAAAGAATAACAAATTATACTACAAACAACCAAAAACAACAGCAACAAGTAAGAATATATAGTAAAACATTTTCAACTCTGTCCAGACCGGAAGGGGAGAGTAGAAGGCGACCGAACGTGCTCAGACTTTCAACAGCTACAACCACCAAATTCTGTTACCTTCACAGCCATTTTTAGCGCCATGTTTTGTTTACATCCAATTGTATGTGCTGCTGTGGCAACCGAGTTTATGAGCACGGTTGCAAATTGAGAATTTTAGGGATAAGTTTTAATGATCCGTTTGTAAAAATATTCCCATATCAATTTTGCAAACATAGGATGACAAATCCAAAATGGCGGCCATTTGGGGACATAGCAATTCTTGGCAGTCGATCGTATTATACGGCGTAGTTTGGTCAAGTAAGCAGCCAGAGATATTTTGTGACGTTTAAATGTTTATCGTGGGCCTAAAAAGCCTGAGTATAAAACTGAATAGTAAGCTTCCTTTTCCTATGTCGGCAAGTCATGCATGTTACATGTAATTTCTTGTATCTTCTTGCCTCAGCTTGTGTCCTTTGTAAATTCATTTCTTTAATGTTGGCTTAGTTGTTCCTGTCAATTTACGTCAACCCAAGTGGTAATGGAATTGTGCATGGGGTCCTGATTTCCACCAGTAGATGTATGGTTCGCTGACACGAAGATAGTCGGGGTAATATTGTACACCCTGATAAAGTGAATATCCTAAAAAATTATTTAAAAAAAGCAAGTTAAAAAAAAGATACTTTCATGTTTATCAGTCGCCAGACAGGTAAATCAGTTACGGAAGGATAGACATGAGACAGTGATAACTGACCTCGCAGAAAGCATTGTTATGATCAGCTGGAGGAATCCCAGAGTTTGCAAAATAAACAGAATCGTGTTCTGCAAAAAGAGGCTTGTGAAGTGAAGAAAACGCCAGCCAGTTCTAAAACAAAATGAATTTCAACATAATACAGTCAACTCCCTCTTTAAAGGACACCCTTAAAAGACAGCGACACCTCGCTAAACGGAGTCCTGTAGAGTTGGCTCCTACCGTTCTTCAGTCATACTATTCAAATTTGTATAAGAAGGACACCTCCCTAAAACGGACACGCCTTGAGCTGACCCCTGCCTTTCCTCTGTCGTTATAATTTATTTGACTCTCTATAAGACGAACGTTTCCCTAAAAAGGGCACCTAGCGTTGGTCCCTGCCGTTCTTCAGTTACAGTATTTGACTCTGTAAGACGGACACCTCCCTAAAACAGAAACCTAGAGTTGCATTTGGTCCCTGCCATTCTTCAGTTCCAGTATTTGACTTAAGACCGACACCTCCCTAAATCGGTAACCAAGAATTGGTCCCTGCCGTTCCTCAGCAGTATTTGACTCTGTACTCTGTAAGAAGGACACCTCCCTAAAACAGAAACCTAGAGTTGGTCCCTGCCGTTCTTCAGTCATATCATTTGACTCTCTACAAGACGGACACCTCCCCAAAACGGGCACCTAGAGTTGGTCCCTGTTGTTCTCCAATCATAGTATTTGACTCTCTATATAAGACGGGCATCTCTTTAAAGGGACAAATAGAGTTGGTCCCTGCCTCTCTTCAGGCATACGCGCTGTAAGATGAACGTTTCACTAAGACGCTTACGGACATGTACACGGTAACAAATAATTTGAAGCTGAAGCTGCAAACTTTGACCAAATTAGGCGAGCATTTTCAATTAGTGGAAGTGGGACGAAGTGTCACGTGACTTTCCTTGTTTGGAGGTCATCGTCGAACTAGTCCTTATATTCATATGGAAACTGTTACTAAAAGCCCCTGACTTATCAGTTGTTAACAGCAACAAACTGTGACGTCAGAGGTTAAAGGTTGATACCCCCAATTACGCGCGAACATTTTGATGTTAAAAACACTATTTTACTCAAGCAGGGTAGAAATGAAAGGAAGACTTTAATACAAGCCTACTCTTTTTGATTCATTTATGTACATGAATTCTTCCAATTAGTTACCATTTAGTTCCCATTTGAGAAAACGCGCCTTCAAATAAATCGTTTAGTTACAGTTTTACGCATTTTTTACACTTTTACGGTGACTATAAAGTGGTCGAAAGGGATCTTGATTGTCCAGGTCCTAACCTCAGGGCTAATTCTCAATCTATCTCGAACTCAAACTGAATCAGTAATTATATTTATAAGTTGTGATGAAATTATCCTAAATGCTTACAACATAAATGTCCTCGTGGGAGCCAGCGTAATTTTGCAGTTCCCGTAAACATATTTTGACGGAAGATTGTGTGATGTCCTCTAACCAAATACTGGCGGCGTCTCTCTTCAGTCCGGCACGGTGATGTTCTGCGTAACAAACACTGAAGGATCCTTTGAAAACTTGCCCTGATTGGAAAATGGTATAAAATTAAGTATAGGAACATCCTCGGAGACCCAGGGGCAGTCAGTCGGGTCGGGAAAAAAAGGCGGGACGAAAGTTTTCAAGTAAGGGTGGAAGATCCCCTGGGTACCGACTCTCACCGAACTATTTCCAAAAATTCAAGCGGAGGCCGGCTCCTGATTGGGCACAAAAAATGCTTTGCATTATTGTCCCCAATCGGCGAACAATTTCTCCTGACTTCTTTTCGTGAGTTTGTACACGACGGCTATTGTCTCGCCACACTTGCGCGGTTCGTTCACCAAACTTGTGCGTACAAGGGAAACTTTTATTTTCTACTTTCCTAACCAGAAACAAAGGAACTACCGATGAGCTGAATAAACGTTTGGGTTACTATCAGCAAGAGCAATTGAATTTGCCCCGAGAATATTCTGTTTTTGACGGATCACAATAAAGATGCAGCGGCGATGAGAAATTCAAATGAGTAACAGCTTGACAAGGCTAAACAACAACTTTGCACGTGCATCACGCTTTTTTGTACATTTCTTTGCCGTCAACTGCACGACTACTCGTGAAAATGCCAAATTTCACGTTTTGTGAAGGACGTAAACAAGCAATAACAAAATTCATTCTCTCTTCATGAACTTTGATATGGTTCAGAAGAGTTCGCTTGCATTTGTCAAAGTAAGCCAGTTGGATCAGATGGGGATTTCATATCAAACTGAAAGTTTCCTGACTGCGTGCATTTCTTTGGTGCATAAGCTACAACAGACAAGCCGTGATCGAGACAATAGCCGTCATGTAAGAACACACGAAAAGAACTCATTGAGATGTGTTCGCCGATTGGGCACAATAATACAAAGCATTTTTTTTGCCCAATCAGGAGCCGGCATCCGCTTGAATAGCCCTTATGCATGTTTACGTCACACAAGCAAATTTCACCTCCAAGCCTCGTTTTGAAATTAAAAATAAGCGAAGTTTCACAGAAATGAATTCCCAAGGCAGTAGAGTTGAAAAGAATACCCACGCACAAAAAGTGCAAATGCAAAAAATTTTGTTCACAAACGAGGCTTGTTGATGAAATTTACTCGTCTGACGTAATCATGCATAGGGGCTATTTTTGGAAATGGTCCGTTGGGAGTCAGTACCCAGGGGCTCTTTCGCCCGTAATGAAAACTTTCTTCCCGCCTTTTCTCCCGACCCGACTGACTGCCCCTGGGTCTCCGAGAATGGTATAGGAATAACAGGCAATGAGGTAAAGCAAAATACGCTTTGATGGCGTCTAACTGCCACTTTTCTTGACAAAATGGTCCGTGTCATTTCATACACCGTTTCATATAACAGACCTTGAGCCCTTTCTTCTAATGTCTGGTAACTTCTCTGGGTTGAAGTGTAGCTTGCATTACAAATCCGAGCAATAAATAATCTAGTCCATTTGTCTCATAATCCGATAGTTTTTTTGACGTTACTTACAAAACTAGTAAAACATTGACCTTTGATGTGAGGGAAATAGACCTTTTCAGCTTGCATTCTTGTTTTCACAATAAAGATCACAACGTTATGCTCACATATGTATCAGTGAAAAGAACGACCTTTGGAAAAAAATAGTTCTGATGAGGTAACCTCTCGTAGTCTGAAATGGGAAAACAAAATATACGAGCCAAACAGGTCTTTTAAACAATTTTTCAGTGAACTATCCAGAAAATTTATCATAAAAAAGCCACGTATTCGCTTTATATTTTCATGGTAGACCTTTGATGAAAGCCCGCTAGGGGTAGTGATAGTGATGCTGTTAGTCGTCGTCGTCGTCGTTGTATTCGTCGTCGTAGTCAGAAGTAGTCAAGTAGTAGGTATGCGTTTTGAAAAGATCCACTGACTTACCGAAGGGAAACTCACGGTCTTACAAGTCGTACCAGTCCACCACTGTGACATGCGCACCTCTCCAGTGACCCCACCCACTGGAGCTCCCTGATAAGCTATCCAGTCTATGGACACATTAGCACTGGACTTGCGCTCGTTATACCCTGCCGCCATCACGCACCCAGTGAATTGTTCGTAACTTACATCTTCAATCCACGACACAGCAGCATCGTGGACATATGTCATGTCACTGGTATCGATGTGATTGACAGTTATCTGTACTTGGATAGGTTTATCAGGATAGAATTCAAATGGTCGGAAATGAACAGCTTCGCAATGAGAGTACCCCAAAGATGGTATGTGGGGCATGTGAATTCGACAGCGCTGAAATGGGAACCATGACAAAAAGAAGCGGAAATAAAAAAAAAAAAAAAAAAAAAACAGAACAAAAACAAAACTCTTTACAAAAATCATTAAATTATAGTACATGCATAGAGCAAAATGAAAGCAGTAACAAAAACGTAGCTTTCATTAAATGCTTAAATGATTATTGTAGGTGTTGGTGTGATTTTTCTCCTAAAATGCTTGCAGTTGACAGTCTAAATCTGATGTTTCAGATAAAGTCTTTAGAAACTAATAAATGAGCAGCATACTGAGTTGCTAACCTTCACAACCTCCGGGATGTTGGACAGAGAAGTTGAGTCGCAACAGACACATTTTCTGTTCAAAGAGACACCTATTATCAAACGTCGTTCCGTTGGAGGAACATATGGGCTCCTGGTAGGATGGGCAGTTTTCTGCGTGCACGCAGCGGGCATCGTATGGTCCAAAAGCCTTACAAAGACAGTGGTAATCACAGGTTACGTCCAGACAAGGATCCAGATCTGGTAGGAGTGTACAAAAATCACGTTTCACATAAGTCTAAGCTCGATGAAACAACAACAACAAAGTGAAAGATACAGTTTACATAAATGCTTAATTGTACACATTTATCTCGGCCTATACCTTTTTCCTGACGCACCGATTTTTTTGGAAAATTTATCCTGTGCGTCATTCAATTAACGCTAACTAAATCTTACAAACATAACACAATAAGCCAGATATAACCAGGACCAACAGAATAGGCCTCTTTCAATAGTTGGTCACGTGTTTCCACCAGGCGGCTCTTCGATAACACATAAGTTCTAGTTCTCGGGGGGCCTTTCGTAGGGAAATTCTTGGTACGGGTGTGCCGCACGAGGGCGCGCGTGAGGCGAATTTCCCTCTTGCGGAGGCCTCGCAGGCTTTAAAGCAAGGTGTGCACGTAACTATAAAGACTTGAATTTAAAACGGATCCGCCTGTTTATCTTAAATGACAAACAACACTTTTTATTCTCATTTCTTTGTATTAAGTAAGTTTTTTTACATACCTCCAATAACCAGGAAGTCGACTTTAATGCTACTGTTACTGCTCCTGTCGTAGTTTCGTACACAGATCTTTGTGTCTGTTTTGGTTGAATTCTTTAAATGAAATAAAATATTCTATTTTTTTTTTCTTATGATAATCATGCAGTCCAGTATCGTCAAAGTTACGTCCTATAAATCTCGTATATTCTAATATATATAACATGGACCACCGAAATCTCATACCTTACTGAAAAATTCTTGAACATGTAACATGAACTTGCTTTTTTATCATCAGGCGGTGCATTTTTTGCAGTTAACAATGATACAGTAAAGGAACAACAATCTTACCTCAACCCAGGTAGTGACTGCGTTACAACCAGAAAGCAAATTGTTGCCACTGTAAATGTATTTTGGTGTTACTAACACCACCGGAGGGGCAAAGAACGGATCTGCGAAGGTGATGTTCTGGTAAAGAAAAACAATGAATTATTTAAAAGAAGTATTTGGGCAGCTATGTTGCAAACAAACGAAAAAGCAAACAGACAAACAAACAACTGAAACAGCAATATCAAGCTACGTTCAGACACATTCCATTATAAGAGAACGAATGCATGCAATACAAATGGACATTGAAAAACAGTGCAATTTAAAAATGTTACCTTTTAACTTCTTACGTATACCTGACAAAGGGCGAAGTTATTGCGATCGAGATAACGATCTGTTGTTGGTAAACGCCAAACTATCAGCCAAAGTAAAATTTTGAACCCTCAAATTGGTAAATGCCATCCAGTTCTGCTTAAAAGAACATACGAAAAAGGACTTCGGGTTATCATTTTCACTGGTGAATTTGCCAAATAAGTGTCTCCAGGCTGTGTGAGCCCCTGGTAATTTAAGCTTTTTCGTTTCAAAAACGAAGAAGAATAGTGACCTACGAGTAAACAGCTGGTTAAAAAGCCTCTCTAGTTCAGCCGGACAGAAAAGTGGGTGGTGGTTAGACTTCTCCTGTCTATACCAGTAATAAAAAATAAACAATTTACTTTATTAGTTGGTGACCAACTCTTGCATCTCGCTATACACATCTCCATTTTTAGAAATATAGCCTGAGTGTCCCAGGCGTTCATATTGTAGAGCGAGGGCGTACGATTTAACTCGCTCCCCTCCAACATCTGAACACCAAGAACAGGCTAATTGTAAGACTCATTTTAATGTTTAAAAGAGACATTTTAGTGGGGTTTATTTGCTTTAAAGTGAAGAACTTGGAATTTAATGATAGACAAGCACGTCAAATTTACTCACAACTTTAATGTTCTGATGAAAACCGTCGAAAATCTTTACTTCTCGGAGGCAAATTTTAAAACTGCTTTGGGTCAAGTCCTCCACCCACACGGCCATGGCATCCTGAGGTCGCTCTGGAACCTGGTGACTAGGAGTCACAAGTATAGTTGGAAGGGACTGGAAACGCTAGGAAGAAATCAGAACGAACGTATAAATCAGGAATAGTAACGAGCTGACAAGGTAGTTGGAATGGTGTGAGATTTAAAGGTGTGCGCACGCGGGAAGGTAAGTTAATGTACCGAAGGCGCTCCTAACTAGAAGAACCTGGGGGCATCCCAGAAACGCCATTTCCTACGTTTTCCGCGGAACACTTTCAGCAAATAAACACGGAGGAAAAATGCAGTAGTCCGTTGTTTTTTTAACCCCTCTCAAGTGTTATCGGTAAGATAAAATGTTAACGGGGTAAAAAGTAAAACAGTCAAAGAGGTTACAAGCAAAGGGCAAGACGTCTACCCTTCAGACGGTCAAACTCTGTTACAACGCCATCAATATCAATTAATGTCCTTGTGCTTGTGTATGTGCAAGAATTGCAAGAGAGCTTAATCTCTCTTCTTTCACTCACTATAACGTTTCTTGCAGTGAGCCGTTGATAGAACAATGAGGACGAAGGAAATACTAAAAAAGGGCTCCAATATAATGCGAAAAAAATATATATATCTGTCATCCCGGTTTTATGATAAAGTGCTTTCAGGTACTAAAAAAAGATTTCAGCTGTACGCACGGGCGTATGTGCGGATATGAACACTTCGCTCCTGGCAAGACAACAGGATACAATTGCTATATGTAATTGACAATTCTTCGTTTTCACTGTCACGCAATAAACACGGCACAAAAGAATACATTTGAAACCGTCCAGTGGAAGAAGCCAAGAAAATGAAATGTTATAAAAGACTAATATATAAACTACTTGTCCAAATCTCAGGTCTTTGTGGCCCACAGTTTCTGAGTTAGTTGCCGAAACATTTCACGCACCTTTGTAGAGCTTTGTATGGAGACGCCATGTTGGTGGACAGAAACTGTCCACCAATATGGCCGCCGGAAATCAACAAAAACATCTGGAGTTCACTTTTTCTATAAAAGCTCCTCCTTTTCGCTCGAGAACTAGTATACTTGCGCATAAACATATCTTCTAATACTTGAAATGGTTAAACTGCTGAAAATCAAGCGGAGAGACTTTTTTCAAGGAGATAGCATTCCTATTTTGTTGTCACGCACTGTGAAAACTCGGAAGTTCAAACTGCTGTATTTTCGAAATGAAACATGCTTCGGGGCTGGAAACTTGTACAAAGATTTATTTCCTATTAATCTTCAACCTGGTGTAAATAAGAATTCGTAAAACCTCGCTTTTTTGACTTTGCAATCTGATGACGTCACCGTGAAAACCATCAATAGGTAGATTATATGTATAAATAGGAATGAATGACTGACCAGTGTTTAGTAATGACTATAAATAGAATGAGTGATTGCTTGTAAATTAAATCAAAGGGATAGGTCATTGGAATATATTTTAATGGATAAGTATTGATAAATTTAAGTGGAAGTTTAGATAATACAGGAAAATGTACACTAATAGTTCACGTGACCGGAAAAAGTTTAAAATAATACTTCCATGAACTTTTGGCCGTCTTCAGTTGACTATCTTAGAAAAGTGTCAAAAGTAGACACTATTCCAAAACAAAATGCCAGAAACGAAGGATTACAGTTTTGTTTCCTGAAAATATTATTTATGTTTACCTTAAAATGGTTTATGGAGGGATTGCAAGTTTAATTTTAATTTAGCGAAATTTGCCAAGTTTGATGAGTATAGGGGCATTCAGTATAAGCCAATATTCCTCAGATTTAAAAAAAATTTAAGAACGTTTTACTTTTTATGCATTTATCTCTTTAAGACTGAAAATATGATAAAAAAAACGGGAATGTCGATCAACATTTAATAACCCTCCTATTTCCAAAATCCTCAAGTTTGTATAATTAAAAGACAGTATATCAACAGCCTTCAAGGTCTCAGTGTCAAGTGTCAACTTCATATTCATAAAAGTTCTTTTAAAATATGTCATAAAACAACTAGAAACAAAATATATGTCGTGGATTGACATCTGTCCCAATTTTCCCGATACGGGTAAGGCCGGGGTGGCCGAATGCCATATATAAACGTGGCGTCATGCATGCACAACAACATTGTTGTACATCGGAACATCTCAAGCAAGATTAATAAATCGCGAAGTCAAAAGCAATAAAATGAAACCATTTAATCCACTTCGGTAAATAAATCTGGAGCTGCCCATTTTCCTGGCTTACAGTACAGTTACCGTAAAATTCCGAAAATAAGCCCCTCCATGTATAAGCCCCTCCAAATATAAGCGCCCCAAACCGGTAACGCAAAAAACCCTCCATTAAATCGCCTCTCCAAATATAGGCTCCCCTAGGGGCTTGTACTTAGAAAATTGCCCTCAAATACAACGAAAAGCAAAGAAAAAATGGTAAATTTACTTCCAACTATAAGGCTAGCGCTATCGAGTTTGAAACGCAAATTTCCCTCGGTAGATAAGCCCCTCCGAATATAAGCCCCTCCAAAAATAAGCCCCTCAAAGGGCCTTTGAAAAATATAAGCCCCGGGGCTTATTTTCGGAATTTTACGGTAGTTTTAAACTTCACTTCGCTTTTAAGCCAGCCCACCTCGACCCGCAGAAAATCTCTCACCGTTTTAATCCTTTAAACCCTAACATCAAAATTCAAATTCTCGTGTGTTATCCCTATACGTTTTCAATAGAATTAGTGTGGAGAATTTGTTGAAGTATCAGTTATTTTCATCTTGTGTGATCATGTCCTTAATTCTCATGACCACACTGTTTTACAAAGCATTGATATTTCAAGGAGAAAATTGATGCTGATCACTCTTAGGGCTTAAAGGGTTAATCCTTAAATTTTTACGTCCGGAGTCGCTGCAGCGAATAATGTTATTTGTTATATTCAGTTTTATCTCGTCACTATTTTAACAACAGTATTAAACAAACAAACAAACAACAACAACAAAAACGACAACAAAAGCTAACCTGGGGAAAGTCGATCCTTTTGCATTCTGTCCCAGTAGTCCAGGAGTCCAAGAGGGTTCTTCCTAACTGCGCTCCTGATGGTGCAGATTGCATTGCGACCCAATTAAATTCCGCTGTTTTGTTTGATCCGTCGCTGTATTCATAGACGCAAGCGCGGAATTGGTTTGCATCCTCCGATTCCACCCAAATAGCAGCACCATTAGAATGAGTTGAGTTGTTAACTGCGTGGCCAAATGAGGCTAAGACTTTCACTTCTTTTCCACCCGGGAAAGGTTGAGTGAAGGAGATCTGCTTGCAAGCGAACAAGCTTCCGCCCGCTGCAGCAGTATTGACTTTACCGGCCTTCAAACTAGCTGCTATAAAGAAAAAAGAATTACTCACCAGATAAAAGACGAAAATTTAGCTAAAAGAAATGTAGTTTCTAATGAGTTTCAACTATAATTGACAAACTTTATTAAGATCCCGGCTTACTGTGCCAAACGGAAAGCTTAGAGCCTTGTTGGTAATAAGCTTTCACGTTCATGTCAGCGTTTGTTTAAAGTGACACCAGTTTGACATGGCTTAACAAATTAAGTGCTCAAAATGAAACCACAGTTTATGAAGGGCATAAACTGAAAATAAATTGGAATCACGAACGCACGTGTAAACAAAGTATTTTTGACTTATTTTTGAAGCGAAGGGACATTTTTCTGTTCAGAATACCCTTATATTAACGTTGACTGATCGACTACTTAATTTTAGGAGAGCGCTTGCATGTTACTAAGTAAAGTGTTATGTGATAGACGTCGTATGGTAGTCTTTACAGTAGAGCCTAAATAAGCTAAGACACATTTCAAGACAAGTAAATGTTAATTACTTCAAGTAAAATAAAGCTTCACACACAACCGATTTTTTTTTACTTCAGGTTATTTTCTCACGCAACAAAATTAAGATTGATTGACATGTCTCGCCTTTCTCAAAGCTCAAGAAACCGCAAAACCGCAAGTCAGTTAAGTCGGTCATAAAGGATGGTTTTCAAGTCGCTTGAAACTTTCTTGAATCGTTTCAACTTTCCGACTTTAATGAGATGCAAAGCAAAGTTACTTGAGATGTTACTTAGGCCTTCACACACGAATTTTTGGTTAAGTAAGACTTAAGAGCTGCTTAGTTTTACTTGGCCAAAAATTAGTGTGTGAAGACCTAAGTAAAATCTCAAGTAACTTTACTTTGCATCTCATTAGAGTCGGAAAGTTGAAACGATTCAAGAAAGTTTCAAGCGACTTGAAAACCATCCTTATGACCGACTTAGTTGACTTGCGGTTTCTTGAGCTTTGGGAAAGGCAAAACATGTCAATCAATCTTAATTATGTTGCGTGGGAAAATGACCTTAGTTAACCTGAAGTAAAAAAGAATCGGTTGTGTGTGAAGCTTTATTTTACTTGAAGTAATTAAAATTTACTTGTCTTGAAATATTTCTTAGCTTATTTAGGCTCTAGTGTAAAGACTACCAATTGTTCTGCAACCTGCTCGATGCCAAAAGGTCATAACGCGTTGGTGCCTGTATATTTAATCCTACGGATAATTCTTTGGCTCAATGTATTTTCTTTATCAGTTAAACATGGCCATACTATTCCCTTACAACCTTAACAATTATTGTCAGTTTTATGAACAGGTGATAATTAAAGTTAATTGTCTACCATAGAAGAACGAAGAACTTAGTTTGCGCCAGCTCCTCTTCAGACTGACTGAC